CATACTGCATGTGTGGTGTATGTGCTCACATGCATGCCATACTGCATTTTGGTGTATGCGTTCACATGCGTGCCATACTGCATGTGTGGTGTATGCGGTCACATGTGTGCCATACTGCATGTGTGGTGTATGTGCTCACATGCATACCATACTGCATGTGTGGTGTATGTGCTCACATGCATGCCATACTACATGTGTGGTGTATGCGCTCACATTCATGCCATACTGCATGTGTAGAGGTCCCAGGAATTGAACTCAGGTTGTCAGGCTTGTCAGCAAGTGCCTTTATCTTTGCCAGTCCCCTCTTGGGTTCTCATGTATGTTCAGGCATGTGCATGCAGGTATCCATGGAGGCCAGAAGAGGGTCTTGGATCCCCCGGAGTTAGAGTTAGAGTCTGTTGTGAGCCTTTTGCTGTGGGTGTTGGGAACTGAACTGGATTCTCTAGGATAGCAGCAAATGCTCTTAGCTACTGAGCCATGTCCCCAGTGTCCTCATGAGTTCTTAATGTCATCTAGCAAATACCCCACACAGAACTAGCTTCCATAGTGTCTTATGTTGACTTTCTGTTGAGTAAGTGAGTCAGGGAGGGTAGAAGTTAGTTGTGCACTGCAGACACACTCACTGTAGCACTTGTTTAGCCTTGCACAGGTAGGCACGCGCTGTACCACTGAGCAGCATTCCCAGCCCCACTGATACATTTCTTGCCTAGACGTTGTGAAGAGACATGGGTACACATGGCTTTGGAGAATCACAAAAATTCACATCTGAATTGGCTTTGAGCTTAGTTTCTGAGAACTGCTATGCTGGCCTGTGAACATTAGTATTTTTGTTCTTTTGGAGAATATGATTTTGCTTATCTCTTTGAGAATTCTTTAGCTAATGTTGTTAAGAGCTTACAGTCTACCAGAATTTGCATATTTTCCTTTGTTATGTATTTATGTATTTGTACTGTATGTGTGTTGATCCCATGTCTCAGCTACTTGGAATGCTATTGATACGGACACAGCTGTAGACCTCTGTCTGGGAGACTGCTTTCTATTTGAGGGTGCAGCTAGAAACGGAGCTATTAGATCAGGGGTGAATTTTGCTTGCTTTCTATTATTTTTTTCAAATAATTAAAAAGAAAGAAGAAATTTCACTGTGATTTTTTTTTCTTGGAAAATAGATTTTCCCATGTAGGATCAACTGCAAATATTTTAAAGGCAGTAAAAACTCATAATCTCACAAATTTAAAACGAGGGTGAATGAAGCGTAGAGGAGCCAACCCACAGCTCTCCGTCTGCTTGGTGCTCTCCTGTCACAGTGACAGCGGGGTTGGAGAGTGTGTGAGAGGAGTCTCACAGTTGGAGGAGGATGGGATTCCATACTCGGAAGCTATCTGATGGCATTCTCTAAATCCTTATTTTTCTTGATTCTGAGCATTTGACTTCATTATTTTTTGAGACAGTTCTCCCTGGTTGTACTTTAACTCATTATGTAGATCAGGCTGGTCTGCAGGAAACTGTGTCGCCATATCTGGCTTTGACTTAAAAAAATTTATTTTTATTTTACATGTGAATATTTTGCCTGCATGTATGTCTGTACCATGTGCACACAACACCCAAGAAATCCAGAAGAGGGTATTGGGTTGTCTGGAACTAGAGTTAAGGTACAGCAGGTGTTTTGCCATCCTATGGTTGCTGAACTCAGGTTCTCTGCCAGAGCGTAAGCGCCTTTAACTGTGGAGCCCTCCCTCTAACCCTGCATTGACTCTTATTGGCCATTTCTCCACAAAAGCCTATCTCTCTTCCCCTTCCTGCCTCCCCTAAGACACCGTCTGTGTGTTCCAGGCCGCTCTGCTCTCTCTCTTCCCATTCCCTCCTTCCCTAAGACAGCATCTGTCTGTGTGTTCCAGGCTGCTCTGCTCTCGAATGGTTGCAGCTCCCCTTCTTCTTGGCCTTGAACACTGGCACTGAGGCTTGCCCCAGTACCACTGCTGTACAGCTTCTCTTACTTACGTCTATGATGCTGTAGCTCACATTGACGGGATTCACCTTACGAGCCCAGAGAGCTCTAAATGCCTGCTGGCTTTCTGTTTTGTTTCCAGGTTAGCACATCTGTCACATGTGGCAGTTTTTCATGGAATAAGGGAATTTAGAGTAAATCTTCGGCTTTCTTTCTCTTTCCATCTCTTTCCTTTGAAAATGACTGAAATTTTAAAATCTTTATAAGTAATTTTGACATTGAGTCAGGTCGTGGTGGTACACACCTTTAACCCCAGCACTCAGGAGGCAGAGACAGTCGGATCTCTAATTTTGAGGCCAGTCTGGTGTACAGAACAAGTTCTAGGACAGCCAGACCTACACAGAGAAACCCTGTCTCAAAAAACAAAACAAACAAACAAACAAACAAAAAACCCCAAAAAACAGCCCCCCCCCTTTTTAAAGACAAGGCATCCGAATAGGAAGATGTAGAAGCAAATCTTGTTTTTAATCTAAAAAGGGCCAAGCAGACATACCTAGATTTGAAATAAGTTCTTACTACAGCAGGCTTCTTGTATGTCATCCAGCTGCCTCTGAGACCTGGATACTCAGAAGAGACTTGGAAACTCAGCAGGTAGGAAAAGGAGGATCCTTTGCTCCAAGTCATCCTGGACTCCGTAGAGAAGCCCTCCCTATGAGAGGGTTGGGTATAGACATGAGAAGGGTTCTTGTTTGCGTGCTTGTTTGTTTTTGAGACAGGGTTTTTCTGTAGCCTGCCTCTGCCTGCTGAGTGCTGGTTAAAGGTGTGCTCCGCCTGTCCTCTTTTTACCTGTTGCATGTGCTCCTGGAAGCACCACAGACGCCTCTAACAAAGCTAGTTGTGCCTGGGTTACTGCAGTGCTCGAGTTAAGCAAGTTCTACTTAATTTAAGGAAGTTCTGCTTCCTCCTGCTTCCTTTCAGAATTCTCTCCACATGGCAGCCAACAGCATCTTTTAAACAAAAATGACTTATTGTCTACCTAGGCCTCTTTAGTGGCTTTTCATTGCCCTTAAGACGAAATATAAATACTTTTTTATGGCTTCCAAGGCCCTTGCAATCTAGCCGGCTCTTCCATTCTCATGAGCTTTTTCTCTTCCTTTGGCAGTGGGTCAGTAGGTGTGACCTTTTATTAAAAATAAATTAGTCAGTTCCATTAATGTGCATAGCTGTCTTGCTTACATCTGTGTCTGCACTACGTATATGGCTGGTGCCTGCAGAGATCAGAAAAGAGAGTTGAAGCTCTTGGAATGCAATTGCAGACACTTGTCAACTGCCATATGGGTGCTGTGCATCAAACCCTGGAAGAGCATCCAGTGCTCTTAACCACTGATCCATCTCTCCCAGTCCCAATGGACATGACCTTAAGACATCTGCCTTTTGACCTTGGAAACCTCAAACATACTGTCTTAGTTACTATTCTATTTCTGTGAAGAGACAACCATGACCAAGGCAACTCTTAGAGAGGAAAGCATTTAACTGGGGGCTTGCTTATACTTTTTAGAGGGTTAGTTCAAGATCATTGTGGCAGGAAGCAGACAAGATGGTGCTGGGGAAGTAGCTGAGAGCTTTCCTTCCTGATCAGCAGGCAGTAGGGGGAGAGAGGGGGAGGGGGGGGAGGGAAGAAAGGAGGGGGGAGGGAGAGGGAGACAGACAGATAGACAGACAGACAGACAGACAGACAGACACGGGGCTTGGCATAGGCTTTTGAAAACCTCAAAGCCTACCCCAGTATCACACTTCCTCCAACAAGACCACTCTTCCTTAACCCTTCTCAGAAGGTTTACCCAGCCTATGGGAGCTGACTGTTCAAATTACTCCACCTGCCTGTTATTCCTTCTTGCTGTTGTATTCTTTCTGTACTTTTTACTAAGCCAGTGCCTCTTCCTTTTATTCTCAGGTTCTGAGTTCCTTTTTAGAGAGGCCTCCAGGTCAGAGCCTCCAGGTCAGAGCCACACATAGGTATATGGCCATATTTAATTCATCTGAATTTTATTCTCCAGAAAGAAATTAAAACAAAAACAAAACTTTAACAGATGTGGTAGTATACACCTTTAATCTTAGCACTTGGAAGGCAGAGGCAGAGGGATCTCTGTGAGATTGAGGCCAGCCTGGTCCACAGAATTCCAGGACAGCAGAGCTACACAGAGAGACCAAAAGAATTAAGTAAACAAACAGACCTTTTCCTTTATAGAAATTATTTCCTTTATTTGTTTTTTTGTTTTAAGGCAGAGTCTCATTAGCTCTGGGTGGCCTGTTCCTGTCTCCCAAGAAAATTTGCTTTTTGCATAAAATGCAAATAATACAAAAGTATAGATTTTCTTTTAGCATTTCTATAATCTCATTGTCAAAACAGATAATTACTATTATACGTTTTCTTAAGTCGTATCAAATCTTTTCAAGGTACACGTTTTTTTTTAATATAAAAAGTTTGAAGAGGTTGATAGATGTGCTCTGAAATGATACTATAATTACCATCTCTCTGGTTAAATTTTTTATTTTTTGATGTTTCTGTCTGATTAGTTCCTAAAATATAATTGTTGAATTAAACAGTAAACATATTTTACTTTCAGCAGTTAGTTCCAGATTGCCTTATAGAAATTCTGTTTTCTTTGAGCTTGTAGGAAATGAACCCAGCACCTCACACACGCTCTGGCAAGCACTCTGCTGTAACTATATCACCTAACCTGCCTGTAAAATGTCTTCCTTATTGATATCAGTACGTGTGTACATGGGGGGACGGTTGGAGTACAGCTTTTGGTAGTCAGTTTTATACTACTTTCCTCTCCCCCATGTTTTTCTTTTAAGAGAAAAATTCTGTTACTCTGGCTGGTCTCAGCTCAAGCTATCCTCCTGCCTTAGCTCTCAAGTATCTGGTGTTACAAGTCCATGGCACTGGACCCAACTTACACATTTACTTTTGAAATTACCTGTTTGTTTGCTTGTGCTGTGGTACGAATGTATATGCCAGGGTGCACAAGTGGGAGTCGGGGAACAGTTTGAAGAGTCAAGTCTCTGTCCTCCACCGTGTGGCTCCAGGGATGGACTCAGGTTGTCAGGCTTGGTGGCAGGAACCTTTACCATCCTGCTAGCCACAAAGTCACTATTTCAAAAAATTATTTATGTATTTAACTTTTTATGTGTATTAGTGTTTTGCCTGCAAGTATATCTGTGTACCATGTGCATGCCTTGTGCTTCTGGAAGTCATAAAAAATTGCATCCCCTGAAACTGGAGTTGTGGATGCTTGTGAGCCTCCATGTGGGTTCTGGGAACCGAGCCCAGGTTCTCTGCAAGAGTAGCCAGTGCTTTTAACCAAAGAGCCATCTCTCCAGTCATTGAAAGTTCACTTTAAAAAGAAATGTATTTCTGGGGCTCATGATTGAAAAAGTAATTTGATAGTTTATACTTTGAAATTTTAGATTTCTTTATTTTAAATTAATATTTATTTAATGTACAAAATAATAGGTTGCATTATGACATTTTCATGTCATTCCTCACTTATAGTTTCATAAGCACCACCCTTTTCTGACACCCCCACCCCTGTATTCCTGGTCCCCTTCAGACAAATACCCATCTTTTGCTTTCATTTCACATGCATATATGCACATATATACATACACACATACATGCATACACACACATATATACATATATACACACATACATACATATTGCCTTTATGTTTAATTTTATTTTTACATAACTATATATTAAAGAAGATTTATTAATTTATTTAATTATGCTTATGTGTGTTTGTATCTATCTGGGAACGTGCACGTGAGGGCCATCCAAGGTTAGAGGCCTTGGAGCTGGAGTTACCACAGTTGCAAGCCTCCAGGTGTAGGTGCTAGGAACTGAACAGGTGCTCTTAACTGCTGAGCCATCTCCAGCCCCAGCTACACTGTCTTCTGGTTTGCATATCTTCTCACTTATTTTTCTTCTCAATGCCTTTTCAGAAACAATTTTAGAAAATTTCCTGGACAAAAACCTGAAAATTTAAGGCTCTCCATACACATTGCCAAAGTACTTTCCAGAACAATTCCAGGTTATAGCTTATGAGCTGTTTCAGTGTCCTATTTTTTCTTCAGTCTGATAAAAAAAGAAAATGGCTGAGGAAATCTCAGTGAGTAAAGGTGCTTTCTGAGGAAGCTTACTTACCTGTGTTCAGTGCCTGGAACCTACATAAAGATCCTCTGACCTCTGCACACACATCAGAGTAACAGGTCGGGTAGGTGGAGAAGAAATAAAATTTTAAGAACTTTAGCTTAGAACAATGCTGTTTAGGTGATAAAGTAAGATGAGTTCTAACTGTGGTGTGGAGTGGACAGGTGTTATCCTGCAGTGCCATGCACTCAGTAAAGCATCTTCCTGTCAGTAGTGTACTCCTTTACGGTCTTCGATGCTCAGTTTCCTGTCTTAGGTTTACTGTGTCTTTATTCTTTCCCCTACATTTTTCTGCCTAGAGACCAAATGAGAGGGTGGACACTGCACCAGAAAAGCCAAGAGAAGAGCCAGTGCTCAAAGAGGCCGTCCCGGTGAGTGACTTGTTGAATGCTGTGACCAGGTATGGTGTCAGACGGTGGTGGGGCTGGAGAGGTGGCTTAGTGATTATGAGCACTGGTTGCTCTTCCAGAGGACCCAGGTTCAGTTCCCAGCAGTCAAATGTTAGCTCGAGTTCCAGGACATCTGACATTCTTCTGACCTCTGGAGGCATTGAACACACATGCATATTTTGCTCATATGCCGGAAAAATATCCATGCGCTTAGAGTAAAATAAATAAATAAATCTTCAAAGAACAAAAAGAGGTAGCAGCATTGCGGCTGATTGTTAGTAGTCCGCCATTACCGCTCCATGCCCATATGTATGTCAAAAAAGAGAGTGCACTGAAAAATTCTGTGCACTTTTTAGGACTAGGTGTTTTCTATAAATGATTGTTCTTTTAAAACCGTGATCCTCTGTTTTCACTGAGCTCCTAGGATGCTTTATTGGCAGTGGAAACCAGTGGTCCTTACTGTGGTAGGATGGGCTTACTATTTTTCCCTCTTTTTTTTTTTTTTCTACCTATAGATAGCCAATACCAGACAAGAGTATAATTGAAGATAATTTTTACATTGTAAGCACTGTGTGTGTTGATGTGTGTGAGTATGGGTATGTGTATGCTGTAGCTCACAGCTTGGAGGTCAGAGGACAGACAACTCTGTGTGTCCTTCCACCTTGTTGTGGAAATGGTTTCTTTGTTGTTTGCCCCTGTGTTTGCCAGGTTGACTGGCCCATGAGCTTCTGGAGAATGTTCTTTCTCCACCTCCCATCTCCATAGGAACACTGGATTACAGATATGTGCTAGCTCACCTGCTTGATGTGGGCCCTGAGGATTCTAACTCAGCGCCTTGTGCTTGAGTGACAAGCACCTTACTCACTGAGCCATCTCCCTAGCCCATGAGCACTTAGAATGTACTTTATACATAGTTCTCTCCTTCCCACCTCCCTTCCTCTTTCCTCCTTCTCTTTATCCTCCCTCTCTTCTTCTCTCCTCCCCTCTTTCTTTCTCTTCTGATGGAGTTTTGTGACATTTTTTCTGTAGGTTCCTTCCTTCTTTCTCCTTCATTCTTTTCTGATGGAGTTTTGTGACCTTTTCCTGTAGGTTCAGCCAATACTGTCTTCTGTTCCAACAACAGAAACGTCCACTGGCGTTAAGTTCCAGGTTGGTGATCTTGTTTGGTCCAAGGTGGGAACCTATCCTTGGTGGCCTTGTATGGTTTCAAGTGATCCCCAGCTTGAGGTCCATACCAAAATTAACACAAGAGGTAAGAAAAGTAATAAATAGATATTAAGTAACAAGTTTGCAATAAAGCAAAGTGAACATTCTATGTTGTATGTGAATGTAAGAATATACATATATATTATTTAGCATAAAAATGTGAATCTTTATCAGATTTTTGTTTCTTCTTGTGATGTGTTCTTGATACAGGGTCTTAATGTAGCCAAGGTTGACCTTGACCATGCAACAATCTTCCTGCCTCTGTTCCTCAGGGTTTTCTCAGTTTTTAATGACAAATGAAATAATTATGGTCATTTTAAACTGGCAGAGAATTTCTATAGCTAATGTCTTTATTATCTGACTATGTAGCCCTGGCTAGTCTGGAACTAGCTTCATAGTTCAGGCTGGCCTGGAACTCATAGATACCTGCCTCTACCTTCTGGGTGCTGAGCACTGCATGTTTCACCACACCTAGCTCTTAGAATAACTTCCTGAGAGGTGTGTGTGTGTGTGTGTGTGTGTGTGTGTGTGTGTGTAATGTTCATGTTTGTATGTGCTGATGCCTCGGAGGCCAGAGAGAGACATTAGATCCTCAGCAGTTACAAGTGACTTTGAGCTGCTTGATGTGGGTGCTGGGAATCAAACTTGTGTGCTCCTGAAGAGTAGTAACAAGCCGTCTCTCAACCCTCAATAACTGTTTCCCCCAAAACTAGGGGTTAAAATGGGGGCACTGCACACAGTAGGTGAGCATTCTACTACCAAGTTTTAATAACCCCCCGCTGGTTTTGTTTTTTAAACATTTTTCTTTTAATTTTAAATTACGTGTTGGGATATGTGCACTCTGTCCCCACAGAGGCCAGAAGGTTGGGTACATTAGAGCTCTTGGAGCTGGAGTTACAGGCAGGTGAGAGCTGTCTGATGTGGGTGAGGAGAGCCACACTGGATATCTCTCCGTAAGAGCATTGTGAACCCTTAACTACTGAGGCATCTCTCCTGCCGCTTCATCCACAGACCTTTTCATTAATTTATTTAAGGAAAAAAATGTTGGGGGTCACGTGGGAGCTGACCCTCTGATAGTACCTGATGGATGATCTCAGTCATGTTAGTAGAGGTGGGAGGAGATGTGTGTAGTTCAGTTCCTGGACATCGAATCCACACTGTGGGAGAGAATGGAGAAAGCCAGCCAGCGATGTGGCTCAGTGGGTACTAGCAAGCCTGCTGACCTGAGTTAGAACTCAGGACCACATATGGTCCTAAAGGAGAGAACCAGCTCTCTGGAAAAGATGCCTCTGACCGCTGTGCTGCCCACTACCCAATGAATGAATGGTTTTTTGGTTTGTTTGTTTTAAAAAATATCAAAGCAGGGTGTGATGGGGTGCATGCTTTTAATCCCAGCACTATGGAAGCAGATGTAAGCGGATATCTCTAGTAACTTCCAGGCCTGCCAGAGCTGTCTCATAGCAAGACCCTGTCTCAAAAGTAAATTAAATATGCAAATAAATAAATAAATAAATAAACAAACAAAACTAAAACAAAACTGGAGACTGCAGCCTGAGCAGTAGCACCTATTACTTCATTACTTTCCGCTCCTGCCTGTGACTGTAAAGTGAGCAGTTCTCCAAAGCCTGCCACTCTGCCGCTCTGCCGCTCTGCCGCTCTGCCGCTCTGCCGCTCTGCCGCTCTGCCGCTCTGCCGAGATGGACTATAACTTGGAATTTTGAGCTCAGGCTGGCCTTGAACTTGTGATATTCTCACTTCAGTCTTCTAAGCAGCTTTGATTACAGATCTGAGCCACCACACCTTTCTCCTAGATTTGTTCATAATTGTTTTTATGCTTCCTTATCTCAAAGACACGAATCTTTGGCTTTCATACTTCATTTAAAAACAAAGCATATTAGTAAGTGATTAGATATTTTATATGGGTTTAATGCATAGACTAGGGCTTTTTTGAGCTATGCTGTGTTTTGTTTTATTTTGTTTTGATACATGGTCTCATTCTATATAGTTCTGACTGTTCCCAAGATCATTACCCTTCTGCTTCCTCATCCTGAGCTCAGGAATTACAGATTTATTTCACCATGCCTAACTTGGGTGAACATAAGTTCACTATGGATTCCTATGGGAATCATTTTCACCCAAACAAGTACTTTTCATCATATCAAATTTCACACAGAGCTTTTTATTCTCTTCTGATTCAGTCATGACTCTGTAAGTATCCTTGGAAAGCTTTATGTATTTGGTAGGACATAAAGGCATACCTTGGATCTAGTTATAATAGATAACCTTACTTTAGGAGTGCTAGAAGCTAAGAAAGGGTTATATTCTGTGTGTACTTTGTCCAAGCATGATGTGTAGTAGATTCCTAAGATTCTCACACCTGGAAGTGATTTACTAAGTTCAAAGACATTTTGACTTATAATTTACTTCTGGGTACTTGCTTTGTGAACACATTTTTGTCATCTGTTGAATTCTTCATTACCTGTGACAATTTTTTTCTTTGTTTTTTGACATTAAACTTCCTTCTTGATACCTGTTCATTATCAATGAGAAGAAAAAAGTATCTAGAAGTCAGATTTGTGGGTTTCACTCTACTGGTGATACTGGCTATAGACAAGAATCTGCCAAAGTATAGTAGTTAGTATTGTTTAAAGTCTTTCTTCTTGGCACCATGTGCTTGCTGATTAAAGTCTGAGAGAGTAGATGTGGAGTAGGAATGAAGAAAATCAACGCTGTGATTTGTTTAGTTTTTTTTTTTTTTTTGCGGGGGACTGTATAAGGTGGTTGTATTATGTATATCGAATTTGGTATTGTTTGAAGTCTTTCTTC